CTCTTAATTGAAGAAGTCTTCAGGAGTCTTTTCTATTTTGCTTTATTTATTTTTTTAATTTTTATTTTATATGTATGAATATATTGCTTGCATATATGTATGCGCACCCATGTTGTGCAATGCCCATGGAGGACAGAAGAGAGAGTCAGATTCCCCAGGAACTGGAGATTTAGATGATTGTTAGTTGCTATGTGGGAGCTGGGAATCAAACCAGGGTCCTCTGCAAGAGCAGCTAATGTTCTTAACTGCTATTTTGCTTTTTAATATAGGTGACAGATGTTTTCTCTAAATGATATCTTGAATGAACTTGTTCCTTTGCTCTATGTATAAGGAAATGGCTTTTTCTTTTTGGGCCATTGGTGATTGATTTGTGTTTTTCCTCACAAAGTATTTGTGGATTTTTAAGGTATCTTTCTGTTACCATTTTAAAAAATTCTCTTGTGATGAGAGAATATACTTTGTATGATTTTAGTTATTTTAGATTTATTAGGATTGGTGCTGTGATCTAGGATGTGGTCTGTGACTGAATGTTTCTTGTGTACTTGAGGAGAATATTATTCTGTTGGATAGTGTTTTTTTTTTTTTTTCCAATAGTGTTTAGGTCAGATTGATTGATAGTGTTAAGTGTATATCTCTCTCCTCTCTCTCGTCTGTAAATATGATGAGAAGAGGTTTTGGTCTTCAGGTACTATTGTGATTTTGTCTCTTTCTTTTTTGGTTTGTATCAGTTTTACGACATGTGATTTGAAGATCTGGTACCAGGTACCAGGTACATGCATGTTTAAGATGGTTAGATCTTACTGGTGATTTAAGCCTTTTACAATTGTAATACCTTTTTTTTTTTTTTTTTACTTGCTGATTAAAAAAAAAAAAAATTCAGGGCCTAGAGAGATGGAGAGATGGCTCAATGATTAAGAGCACTTACTGCTTTTGCAGAGGACCTAAGTTCAGTTCACTTCTCAGAACACAAGTTAAGCAGTTCACAACCACCTGAAACTACAGTTCTAGAGGATCTGATACCTTCTCCTGGCCTCTGCAGGAATCTACACACTTGTGGCATACACTCATGCAGACACACACACATATAAATAAAAACATCTTTATATTAAAAAAAGTTTTTTGAGACAGATTTTTACTATGGGCTGGTCTTAGCCTTCCAAGTAATGGGATTAAAACTGTGAGCTACAATGCCCATCTTAAAAATTAAATCTAAAAAAGAAATGTCATTATCTTATTTTAATATAGCGATTTAACTTTCTTTTAAATAATGTTTGTATCATGTCATTTTCTATCCTTTTATTTTTAATATTTTAATATTATATCTACATATCATTTTATTTAAAGTACTTCCTTCAGGTAGTGATTTTTTGTACTCCAAAGACTGTTTGACAACATCCAGGGACACTGTTGGAAAGTTTTTAAAAATTATTTTTTCATGTTATATGTATGGGTGTTTTGCCTGCATGTATGTACGTGCACTAATGTCATGCAAAACCCATGGAGGCCAGAAGAGGGCATCAGATCCCCTGGAACTGGAGTTACAGGCAGTTGTTATCCACCATGTGGGTGCTGGGAACTGAATTCCTGTCTTCTGAAAGTGCAGCCAGTGTTCTTAACCACTGAGTTGACTCTTCAGTCCTGGAACATTTTTTATTGTCTCAACAAGGGATGATACTTCTGGCATCTAGTGACTAGAACTAGGAATGCTCTTGAACTTGCTGCATGCACAGGACAGTCCTCCATAGCAAGGAATTATGTAGATCAAAATGCAAATTGTCCTTCTGTTGAGAAACTTTACTCTGAAGATTGTAACAGTCAATTTTCCACTGTTCTGGAATGTTACCATCTTGTCACTTCATGTCACTAGAGGACCCCTATACCTCCCTTCCTCCACTCCTGTCATTTGTACTCACATTTATTTTCATCCAAAACTTAACCACATAGTGCTCTTATTTTCCCTTTGAATAGTCCTGCATTTTTTCCTGCATATTTTTAAGAACTTTTTGTTCCTTCTTGACTAAATTCCTTCTGATTTATTTTTCCTTATCTTGCTTTCAACAGTCTCTTTACTTTTACTTCATCTGAGAATGTCTTTGTTTTCTTATATATGCATTCTGCCTGATGTGAACCGAAGTTCTTAGAAAGAGCCATACCTGTGTTAAAGTCTACAAAGCTTATCAGACTGATTAAAACTTAATGGTTATAGAGTGATAAAATATTGCAGATCTAAAGCCAAGTTATCCTGGGCTATTTTTAGTTCCCTTAGTAGCTATTTATTGCTCACCATGTGTGAACTAACATCCTTTAAAAATATTACTTTTTTTAAAAAACTTTTTTTATATGTATAACTGTTTTGCCTACATGTAAGTACTATGTTCATGCCTGCCAGAAGAGGGTGTTGGACCCTCTGGAGTTGGAGTTAAGAATGTGTGTTAGTTGCCATGTGGGTGCTGAGAACTGAACCTGGGTCCTAATTAGCATTTTGGTATTAAGTTTCATTATAGCATTTTCAAGCAAAAAATTTTTATTCTCCTCACCTCCCCTCTTCTTCTTTCCCTACCTCTTGTACCCTTCCACCTACCTCCCCATTACCTTCTTCCCACTTCCATGTCTCATGTATCCTGTTGCCATCCCTCCTTTCCTCAACACCTTCTTTTCTCCTTTTGTGGTCTCCTTAATAGTTTCATAGCCTATATCCAGATTTGTCCCTATTTATATGCATACATATAGAAATTATAAGGTAGATTCTGCATATGAGAAAACATAAAATTTTTGTTTTTCTGAGTCTTGAGTCACCTCCCTTCGTATAATACTTTCCACTTCTGTCCACTTTCCTGTGAATTTCATTTTTCTTTACAACTGAAATAAATTCTACTGTGGTATACCTGATCCAAACTGATTTCCATAATGGCTGAAGTAGTTCATACTTTCACCAGTTTCCCCATATCCTCCACAGTATTTGTTGTCTCTTTTATTGATGATAGCTGTTCTGACAGGTGAGATGGAACCTTGAAGCAATTTTAAATTGCATTTCCCAGATTGCTAATGAGGTTTGGACACTTAAAAGTACTTATAGGTTATTTGTGTTTCTTCTTTTGAAATCTGTTTATTTCATTAGCCCATTTGTTGATTGGTAGATCTTTTAGCAGGGGGAGGTGTTTAATTTTTATAGTTCTTTATATATTTTAGGTATTAACTCCCTGTCTGAAGTATAGCTGGCAAAGATATCCTCTCCTACTGTGTGCTCTCTGTTTAATCTACTGATATCCTTTGCTGTGCAGAAAGTTAAAAAAATTCTCGTAGTCCTATTTGTTAATTATTGGATGCTGTTTCTTGTGCTATAGGAGTTCTATTCAGAGAGTACTTGCCTATACCTATATATCTTGAATTGTAATTCCTGTGACTTAGCATGGGTTGACTATCAGAAAAATCTTTAAAATGTATATTTAGCAGACCACTAGTTCCATCAGTCCAAAAGCTAAAAATGTCATTTGATAGCATCTAGATCCAGAGCAGATTTTTTTTTTCCTTTTTTGTTGTTACTCACATATGTGTTTGGTAAATTACCTAGATTTATGACTTTGTTTTGTAACTAATAAAATCTCATGTAACTGCTTCCATGTGGGACATATCTCTTGGGGCAGCCTGAATCCATGTTCGTGGACCGTGGTCACTCACATTTGACTCAGAATAAACCAGCTCTTATTACCTCTGAGATGAGAACTTTGTTTTGGGTCAACACTGGGATGACAGTTCTTTTCTTTTAGCCTTTTGAATATGTAGTTTCACTGCCTTGGGGCTTCTGTTTTCTCTCTGAGAAGCCCATAGACATTTGAATGTATATTCCTCTACATCCCACCAGCTGTATTGGTATGGAATACTTATTTCTCTTTTTATCTGTGTAGTAAGGTTGAGTATTCTGTCTCTTGTTGTAGTTGTGCGTTTTCACTGATTCTATTTGATTTTTGTATGGATTAGGAGAATGGGTGTGGATTTCAGCTTGAGTCAGTGCCTTGGACTCATAGCAACCCAGAGATTTGCTTCCTTACTTTTCAAATAGAGAGGATAGCTTTCATAGAGACTCATTGTAAATTAAATAAGAAAGCAGTTGCTGAACAACCATTATAGTTTCTGGCAAATTGATTGTTGTCAAAAAGTTTTTTATTTTTTAGAGCTAGATCATGTTTGTGATGGTAGACCGCTGCTTCTTGGAGACAGAAGAGTGCTCTTTGGTCTATAGCTCAGTGGTAGAATATGAGAGACCTCAAGTTCAGTCCCTAGCAACACACACACACACACACACACACACACACACACACACACACACACACGGGAGGGAGAAAAAGAAGGAGGGAACAGTTATTGGACTTGAAAACCTAAGCCAGTTGAGACTTTTTTCCCCCATTGAGTAGTAAGTTTTAGCAAAGGGAACAACAGAGACATAAAATAAAGAACATATATAACATTACTATCATCTCTGACAACAAATCCAGGGATGGTGTTCAGACCTTTCATTATATATATATAACTAACAATGTTTCATCACAAGTCACTTTCTAAAACTTTGAGTGGGGACTGTAAAGTTGTATAATATGACTTGGAGGTATAGATTTTGGCCAACAGTAGCATTGCAGATTTCTTACCAAGTTGAATGCAGTGAATGAGTCAGATAGCCTTGGTCTTACTGTCTGTCACCCAGCCATACCCACCAGAGGCGTCTCTGAGATTGTTTACAGCATGAGGATTGTGGGCTGCTTCAGCTAACACAGGCTTCCTTGCAGAAGTCTTTTCTTACCTGTTTACTATGGCAATTAGTTTTTTTGCAGTTCTTATTTTTTTTTTTTTTTTCTTTTACAATGGTTCGCTTCAACTGAAGACAGCGAAGCTTGAGAAAACAAAGGGTGATTAGTACAGTTAGGCCAGATATTGTCCTACATGAAGCATACTGCAGCACTAGACTGCTTAGCCTGGCTCAGTTCTCTCTTCTTACCTTTAACTAGGTACCAGCTGGAGGATGAGTCAGCCCCTTTGGATGAAATGCCACTGATGATGTCTGAAGAAGGCTTTGAGAATGATGAAAGTGATTACCACACATTACCACGAGCTAGAATCACTCGGAGAAAAAGAGGACTGGAGTGGTTTGTCTGTGGTGGATGGAAGTTCCTCTGTACCAGGTTCATCATTTCTTGCTCCCTGATTGCTGTGTGCACAGAAGTTTTATATAAGTGTAGTCACAGGCATATTTTTTAGATGTATCAATGTATGTTGATATGAAAACTAAAGAAAACACCATCATCATGGAGAGTATTATTAATATTAATTGTACCAGATGATGCTGATCTGAAAGGAGAAAAAAACCAAACTTTTTATTTTCTGAGAAGTTGTAATGATTAAAACCTGGGAAAATTGGTAATTTTGTTGCTAATGCATAGTAGAATTACTTCTGGTTGCTACATTAATATGTATGAATATGAATTTATGAAATGCCATTTAATAACACTGTACCTATATGCTTTATTCAACTTTAATGGTTTGACTTGTAGTAAGATTCTTCTGTTAGTTTAACCAGCAAGTGACCAAGATACACACTCCCCAGATTTCAAAGGAGTTTCCTGGTCCTGAGATAAACTGGTGTGATTTGTCTTTGACTAGAGTCTGGTAGGTGAAATCACATTGTATATTTCAGACACCATGCCGCTCAGTTAACTGTCACCCCAGGGACAGGCAGGAAGATTCAATAGCTGAATGATACCTCTGAGTAAAGCAGAGCCTGTCAAATGAGTAACAGCACTTACAGTCGTTCTGTTGTTCAGTGTTTCCAGTCAGGACCTTTGTTGCCATTATGTTTTTATATCCCTTTGTCCATGAAGGAAGAGTAAATACTTGTACAAGAAAAAAAAAAAAAAGATCTCGTCCATCATTCTTTTCACTATCCCTTTGGAAGTTTGTAAAACAGATGGTCCTATAACTGATTTGATTCCTGGATTGGCTTGTGTGGTGGTATTTTATAGGAATTTGGAGAAATCCTTCAGAAATTGACAATTTAAGGCTGAGCAAGAGCTAGGTTCATTGGGACCCTTAGCTTTCACCCTTAGTTTTTGGCATAGTTGTCTTGGTCCTCTGTATAGTGTAAGCCTCCCTGGAAGGAGAGTTTTCAAGCCTAGCCAATTTTTAAAATTGCATACTAGTGATACTGGTTCAAAATGTATCTATGACTTCTAGAAAAAAATTCTAGGTTAAGTAGCTAGAATTCCAATATATTGGTGTATTCTTTGTATGCACATATTTAATTATACATTATCTTCTTTAGTAGATCTGAGACTTTAGGATTTTTTGGTTTTCATGTATCATTTTTGATAATTTGTACTTCAAGAGCTTTATTTTTAAATTTATACCAGCAAGAAATATCACAGGTATTTTCCTATGATCTGTCTAATATATGAGATCTGTAGTGATGTCACCTTTCAACATTCCTGATATTGGAAATTTGCATCTCTCTTTTAAACATTAATGTTGGGGCTAGAGACAGGTTTCTTTCCCAGCACCCACATGGTGTCTCACAACTGTTCATGACTCCAGTTCCAGGCCTCCAACACTTCCTCTGGTCTTGTGGGCATTGTATGTACATGGTGTACTTACATACATGCATGCAAAACACTCATATTAAAAAATGAACGCTAATAGAAGATTTTTTTTTCTTTTCAAAGAATATTTGAAAGCTTTTGGTGTTTTCTCTTTTATCTTTTTTTTTTTTTTAGTGTACTTTTAAATGTTTATCCTGAATTAAATTTAAATTCATAGGGAATTTACAAAGATAGTATAGGGGACTCTTGTACTTTGATTCTCCACTTTTTAAACCTTTTGCCACATTCTTTGTATGTCTTACTATTATTCTTTCAGTCATTTAAACTAGGTTGACTACTCCATAGTGCTTAAAAATCTTAATTCTTCAGTATTTTTAAGAGAAATGTATTTTCTTATGTAATCACAGTCCGGTTACCAAATTTATGAAATTTAACATTGTTGTAGTACTTTGTATGAACTCCAAGTCCATATTCAGTGCTGTCTGTTTTTCTAGCAGTATCCTTTGTGGTCCATTTCCCTTGAGTTGGTCATGTGTAGCATCTAGGTGACATGCCTGCCTAGTCTCATTTAATTTTGGCTAGTTGTTTAGTGCTCATCTTTCACCTCTGGACATTTTTGAGGAATGGATGAATTCTTTTGTAGATGAATTATTTTGTAGAATGCTTTGAGTCTTGGTTTATCTGGTGTCTTTTTTGTCGTTGTTGTTGTTCGTTTTATTTGAGATAGTGTCTTATTCTGTAGCCAAGACTGGTGGCCTAGAGCTCACTCTGGGGCCCAGACTGGCCTTGAACTTGACATTCTCCTGCTTTACCCTCCTGAGTCCTAAGTTTACAGGCATGAGCTACCATGCTTGGTTGTCTGATGTAGTAGGTTTTTTGTTTGTTGTTGTTGCTTGAGACAGGGTCTCTTATATCCCAGACTGGCCTGGAACTTGCTGTGTAACTGAGGATAACCTTAAACTTCTGATGTTCTTCCCTCTACCTCCCAAACTGCAGTTTTTGAAGTATAGTAGATCTTTTTTTTGTTTTCTCCATCCTGGAGGGAAATCCCCATGAAGACACTGGCTTGAGAAGGCTGAGGATCTGTGCCCATTGTGGTGGGTTGTCCTCCTCTGGAAGCAGAACTCCTTGGGTTATAGAAGATACTATTAATGGATTGTTGAAATTACAGAGGATGTGGGAATCAGGTACTGATGGGTAGCAAACTTTGGCCATTTTGTGTTGCTTTTTCTCTTTTTCTTTTCTTTTTTTTTTTTTTTAAATTTTTTTTTTTTTTTTTTTTTTTAACAGATTTTTGTTTTTAAATGAAATATGACAGCCACATTTTAGATTTTTGTTTACATTTTATTTGTAATATACTCCTTTCCTCATGGGAAATATTAAGAATATCTTTGAAAATATATATGCCAGCAGCAAAAACACTCAGGTTTGGAGGATTTTGAACAGCTCAATAAAATGTCTAGCTATGCCTGTAAAGCACTCTATCTGAGTCAGTTGTGAACCTATGGAAAAAGCTAGCAGAGCCATCCTGGCCAGCTGTGGTCAGTGGATAAGGCATTAATGCATGCCCCTTTGCCACTGGAATGTGTAACCCGAGATAGCCTTATACTTTTGTTGTTTGGTAGGAGTTTGCTACATAGAGATATTGTTATGGAAATTAGAAGCCATACCCTTATAGAGCCAGATCATGTATTTAGCAACCAGTTTGGGCTTATTTCTTTATTGTTCATAAATTTTCAGTTTCAATTGTGTGTTAATTTCCTAAATACCAGGCATTGTAGCAGTCGGTATTGCAACTACTAGATGATGGTGCTAAGAATAGAAATTAGTTAATTGCAGGAAGAAAATGTTAGTGAATATTTCAATATATTTAGATTGGAGCTAAGGCTAGTGAGTGAAAAAATATTTTAGTATATTTCTATCTATAGATCTTGTGAGTAGTTAAGACTTATTTTAAAATTACTTTAACTTTAAGGACTGAGTAGATTTTTCTTGGCTTACTTCCTCGTATTTATTGTTTGGAAAATTTTCCAACTTTGAGACTTAGAAATATTCCTAAGAAATATTTCCTAAAAAAAAATAAATGTTTTTTTTTTTTATTTTTTTTTAACTTTGAATTTCTTTCCTGTGAGTGACTACAGTCGTGGGGCACATTGATTTGTAGTTCCCTGATCTGGGCTGATAGTCTTTCTCAGGAGATTTGCATTTCACATGTTATCAAAAATCACTTTGTCCCTGAAAAGTGGAGCCAGGAATGAATGACATTTACATATGAAGGGAGGAAAAGGGGGATATCAGATACAGGGATTATTTTTGGTTCTAAATGGCCTCTGCACTTTCAATTAATCTGTAAAACATTTGGGGTGCAGAAGCATGGGAAAATGCTCATCTTGTAAAATGGCAGAAATACCTGTTGTTAGATATAATAATTGTCTAATGGTATGGGGTAAAGGAAGGAGACTGTCTTTATTTTGGAAATTATTTAACTATGATTAAAATTTTAGAAGAAAGTATCCTGATATGTAAAAATGTTCAATGCTAGAGCACTACTTTGATTATAAGGCTGATCTTAAAATGCTTTAAGGAAAGGTGGAATATGTGCATTAGACTTACTTATTATTGGACTTGACAGTGTAAAGCAATGTATGTATAAGCTGGGAAATGTTTTTCTATGTAATTAATTTAGAAAGCATTTAACATACATAGGCATGTTTTAAAGTGAATTCTCAGTTACTTTCTTCTAGAAGCTTCTCTTTGGTTGTTTATCTAATTTTTTTCAGTATTTTCTGATAAGTTTTGCTTACATTACATTGCCCTTACAAATTCTCCATAATTTTATTTTTCTTCTTAGTTATCTAAGTCACTAAGGCTCACACATACCTTTTTTTGGTGGTGGGGTCAGGTATCACTCTGTAATTGAAGCTGGGCTGGATAATGTAGCACAGTCTGGCCTCTACCTTGTGCCAGTCTTAGGGCCTTAGCCACCCACCCAAGTGTTAGGATTACAAGTATGATTCACCATACCCAGCTGTTGAGTATTAAAAAATAATAATAATTTTGAGGCATATGCCTTTTTTCTGAATATTGAAATCACTCATTATTCTTCTTATATTTATGGTCCACATGATTCAGTGGCATTTCTGAGGCAGTCTCAGGCTTTCCCAAACCTTTAGCCTGTTGTGAGTATGCTTGTTCTGTTTTATGCAGTAGGATGTGACTTGATAGTGACTCTCTAACCACTTCTTGATTCTCTCTGTACACAATGATGTAATTAGTAATAACACATTTAATAAATTTATAGTGTAATTTTCAAATGTTTAACTTTATGTATTTCTCTGTTTTATCTTAGATATATCTGATTTTGTATATTTATATATCAGATTAGGTAATTATGTATTACAGTATAAAATTTTGTATCTGAATGCATTCCTGAGGAAAGATTACTCAATTTAGAATGCTGAAAAGAATGTGTATATAAAGGGCTGTATTCACTTGTGGTACCTGACCCATAGTTGGTTTGTCTGTACTGGCAGTGTTCAGTAGGACCCAATGTTATAGTGGGAACTCCTAGATTTCTGATGCCCCTGGAA